TTTCAAAATACCCATTTTTCTGACCCAACAAGAGCCACAAGATATCCGTTCCTTGATGTCTCTAAAAGTGGTTTGCTTACCAGTGGTTAATGTTAAATGCATATTAGTACCATTGCACCTTGGTAATGCAAAATTTAAGCAAAGAAGTTAAGCACACTGCACCTCTGGTCCATTTGCTAGTGAATGAACGAGGATGTCAATGCCGCCAAAATCCTTTTTCACAGATTCAACAACCTCCTGTGAGATATTAATACCAACAAGTCAGTTTGTGGTTCTGTGCCCTAACAATATGTGCTTGGGAGAAAGAAAACATAAACAGGTAAACATCGACTTTTGCAACTGGGAAGCGCCAGAAAGCCAACTTCTTGCACTTGAAGGTTACATATAATGATATGTGCTTTGACTAAAATATCATTCTATAGTTACACCAACATGCCTGTACTGTCCAATTTGAAGACCCTGTATATCTTTTATTTGTTTTTATCTGCACAAGACCACAAAGAGGATATTAATAATGTTATAAACCTAATGTTTCATTTTCTAGAAGGTTAATGTTGAAATTATACATCTTCAGGTACGTCCTTGGGGCAGTCATAAACTGCATCCAGGGGATAGACTTTGGTAATTTCCATTAAAGAACCATCAGGCAATCTGGAAAAAGTAAAGACCAATTAGCCAGGAACATAAAGACAATGACAGTTCGACAAACATCAATCCCTTCGGTAATTCTTACATGCATGATTCATCAAATTTCCCACGTATTAGACTGCTCTCAAAAATGTTAAGTGCCTGCCAAAAGAAATCTATTATAAGAAACTAAATAATGTTGATATCTCCTGAACTACAAGAGCAATGTATTATATTAATTTATGTACCGGCACCCATGTCCCAACAAGAATTTCAGCTCCTGCAGCTGCAAGAGACTTTGCTATTGCCCAACCATATCCATTATCATCAGCAACACCAGCAATAAAAGCTCTCTTACCTGCTAACAGATGCTGTATGTTATATGCTGTAGTACTTATGTTTGTACATGACAGATAAGTATCAACTGACTGAGAATCAAAGAATTTGTACCATTATAGCTGTTTCTTTCCTACCTGTCTTTCAGCACTTTGCACATTTATACAGTAGAAATCATATGATTTTACAGCCATGTGATGTTCATTTCTAGATAAAGTTTCATTTACATTTAAAAAAGAGGTGACTTCAATTTCCCGTCAGATCAATATAAACTAGAAAAGACTTAGGACCTGTTTGGTGTTGCTTGTGAGAGTTTTAGCTTTTTTAGTACTGTTATGAGTGATAAGTTTAAATTTTTATTGGAGGGAAAATATAGCTTTAGCTTTTAGGAAGGTGAAAAAGGAGTGAAAAATAAGTAAAAAGGGAGTTTATGAAAAGTTTGGATTTGAAACTTTTGAACTTTTACTGTTTAAGAGCTTTTTGAAGTTAAAAAAATATTTAAAAGTATAAGTTTTTAAGAGAAAAATTTAAATTCATGAGACATGAATAGTGTCCAAAAGCTGAAGCTCCTATGAGCTGCACCAAACAGGCTCTTAAACTGGTAAAAGCATTCCATTAGGCCGGAATCTCATTGACAGCTCTTTGGAATCTCCCGCGATACTTCTCTTTAGGGTTTTGCTTCTGTTTCTGCAACAAAGTCAAGGCCTTTCGCGTTCTTTCTTTGGTATGGAATATCAAGTTTCCGATAGTAGTGGTATGTTGTGTAACTTGTACTGTGTTCGTGCCTATGGAATATGTGTTTCTGTATTCCTTCTGGGGTTTCTTCTGCTTGATTTCTTCTTTTATAATGGGTTCTGCGGTTTTGGATTTAACTGTGTTGGGAATGGGAGGAAATTATGGTTTAGGGTTTATTTGAGTGTTAGTGAACTCAGTTTTTGTTAGGGGTTATTGCTTTTTTCTGGCTTCCTGCTGAATTCTTCTGCTTTGTTTGTTTATATTATCATTTCCAGTAGACTAACAAGTGAGAGCTGTAAATAGTAGTAGTTCATATCCTTGTCGCTTAGACTTTGTAATATTATGTATTCTTTGTCTGAAATGATGACAGGTGCTGATGATGATGTCCCTCCATCACATCAAATATGGTTTCAGGAGGGGGCTATGTGTCTGGGAATGGAAGATCTGTTGTAGGTTTGGGCCCATACTTTAGGATGCAATCTGAAATGGAGGCCCAAATACATCAACTTGAACAAGAAGCTTACTGACTCGAGATACTATGTTGCCATAATACTTCAGACTCTTTATCTATTCAAAATCTTAATAAATACATTACAAGGAAGGTAATTGTCACAATTTATGATTAGTTTCTGTTCAAATTTATCATCTTTGATTGAAATTTCAAAGATTGAGAAGTGGTTGCATTTGAGTCAAGAAATGCTTCTATGCAGAGTTCCTAGTTAGGACTGTGAAAGAGATGGGTAGATAAAAGGTATCAATTCAGTGAAGGTTCTTTTTTTCTTCATCTTCTATTGCCCGTTTCTTTATTCCAAAACTTCCTTTGCTGCTTTTTTTTTTTTTAACATGTAGAAGAGAGAGGTTTAGATTGATACTGGTTCCATTGGTCTCCTTTCCGCTCATTGAAAAGTGGATGCCTATATTCTTTGGGATTTTTTTCTTTTACAAAATTTATAACCTACGTAATGTATTCACTCACTCATTAATTTAAAAGTAAAGATTTAGTTGGTAAAAGATTGATTATAAAAAATTGTATCTTGTTCTTTAACTATGATTTTATTTTCTAAGGCTGTTACAATTATTTTTGATTTGTTTTAATCTTAATATAAATGATTTATCTTTAATTAAATAATAAAATAAATTTAATATAAATAATTATTTATAAATAAAGCCGTTGTCCACTTGTATGTTGTAACAAGGTTCGACTATGACATTGAGTATTTTCTCACAAATCTTCCAATGTCGACGTAGCCTGTTTTAAAGGTCCGGTTCGGTGTTCTAAAAAAGGAAGATCAGAAGTTGTAAGGATAAATCCGAGGTCTTTAACCTCGGATGTACTGTAACAATTCTTTAATAGTCGAAGTGAAGTTAAACTCAGCACTTTTGGCCAAACGGCTGCACGATAAATACAGTGGGTATATCTCACACCTAATTTATTATATAATTCTCTGGTCCTAAATTTGTAACCGGTCTCGAGTTTATCTTCTTAAGGGACACATTACACTTCGATTATTTTGTTTGGCATGCCACGTGGGTTCCTTACTGAAGCCTATAAATACCCCGAGGGGCCATGTCAAAAAAGTAATTGAAACCAACCCTAAACTTATTTTATCTCCGTTCTAAAGGTAGCCCCGATTATTGCTAACTTAAGCATCGGAGTGTCTACCCTGAGGACCCACCTCGAAGCTTTGCAGGTTTATCCGAAATAAAAACGTGAACTGAAGAAGAATTTATGGTTTGGTGCAATTACAGAAGTAGATAAAATTTAAGCCCAATCTTATAAACAACAGGGCTCAAGCATTAGATTTTGTAATTTTTTATTTTCTAGCCAGAAATCGGAATGAGTTGCCAAATCTTTCATTTTACTTTCGATTCGATTACAAAAAGAAAACGATATTAAAAGATGAAATTTCTGCATACTGAATCCTTCATACATATTTTTTTCAATGTGAAATCTAATTTTTGTAAAATCATCATGCAGCACTAGAAATTTCAACTGAAAAATCATCTAATCTTAGTTGAATACAGAGTATAAGCAAGCGTAAATAAACATATATTACAAGAAGAAAAAAAAGAAAGGAAATAATCCAAAGAAGAAAACAAGCATCCAATTATTTGATTATTACAAACTCCATTCCAAACATTAGCAAAGCACATCTCACAGAAGAAAAGGAACTAAATTACACAGATGGAAGGAAAATTCCGCTCATTAATGGAATTTAAGAATCAAGTACTGCCTTGCCAAACCTTTGCCATGCTGAATTATAAATCTGAGAGCTTCATCTCTTGAATACCCCAATCAATTCTTCAAGGTTACTTCCCGCTTTCTTTTTTTTTTTTTTTTTTTTTATGGATACTTTCCGCTTCTTAATTCAGAAAGAATAGACATTCAAAATGGAGAGCAAACTTACAATATGATTCTGAACATTTGGCAAACACAATTTTACAACGCTTGCTGCACTCGTTGCATTCAAAGTAGTCAAAATCTTCATTCACAAAGGTGAGAGGGTGTGGATGAAAATCATATGTGGAAGTCAACCCAAGCTTCACAGATGGGGATTCCCCCAGAACACAAAAGCAATGCACAGAATACTCGCAAATTTTACAGTGATAAAACCAGTGATTTGGATCTCTTGGTTCCTCACATATCTCACAAAAACATTGATCCACAACATGATCATCATGATAAGTGAGTGCAAGAGGATGTTCATCATACTTGTACCAGGTTATACGCGGCAACACAACACATCCATAGCACAAGGCAAAATCACCATCCTTGCATCTAAAACGACCAGTTCTAGTTCCACAGCTACTGCATTTCCTTTCATACTTGCGGTCATAGAAAAGAGGGTGCTCGTGTCCTTGAGTAGTGAAGTTGTCAGGAACTTCAAAGCATCTAATGCACATGATTTTACAATCTATGGTGTAGCCAAACCCGCTGCAGAAAAAGTCACACCAATAACAGAAAAAAAATTGATTATAATGGAGAGTTAGTGTGGTTTTGAAACTCCATTGTCTTGTCTTTCTTGGTAACTCAGCACAGTGCTTGTGAAGGGAATAATCACATTCAGTACAATAGTAAAATTCAGTTGAGATAGGTCCTATACAACCATCACAACACATATCATCCTTAATCTCATCAC